GGGCGCACAGATCCTAGTCCCGATGTTATCTTGGGTACGTTCATACTATTTGATTCGGTTATGCATGCCTTGATCGATCCGGGTTCTACGCTCTCCTATATCTGTGTTGGCATGCCTGCTAATTCTGCGATTGTGAGGAGTGACCTTGAGATACCTACCGTTGTATCGAATCCGCTAGGACATAGCATGCGTCTTCATCACATTTATCATAGGTGTCCGTTGTCCGTGCAAGGGAAGCAATTTCCTGCAGATTTGATAGAGCTACCACACAAGGAGTTTGACATTATCCTTGGTATGGATTGGCTCACCGAGCATAGAGCAGTGGTCGACTGCAGTTGTCGGACCGTATGGCTGAGAGCCGAGGACGGTAGCGACGTATCACTCTCCGGGGAGGTGTTCCCCAAGACTCCCGAGTTCATATCGTCCTTGAGCGCGAGGCGCTTGATTCGCAAGAAGTGTGAGATGTTCCTGTGTCACGTTCAGGATATGCGAAAAGAATCGCCACGTCAACAGGACATTCGTACGGTTTGCAACTTCCCCGATGTCTTTCCCGAAGACCTACCTGGTTTGCCTCCGCCGAGAGAGGTAGAGTTCTCGATCAATCTCATTCCGGGTACAGAACCCATATCTTCTACACCGTATCGTATAGCACCTGCCGAGATGAAGGAGTTGAAGGCTCAGTTGCAAGAGCTACTGGAAAAGGGATTCATCCGACCTAGCGTTTCCCCATGGGGAGCACCGGTGTTATTTGTTCGGAAGAAAGATGGATCCATGAGACTTTGCATCGACTACAGGCAGTTGAACAAAGCCAGAGTGAAGAATCGTTATCCGTTGCCTCGCATCGACGACCTGTTCGACCAGCTCAGAGGGGCTACAGTATTCTCGAAGATCGATCTGCGTTCTGGATACCATCAAATTTCCGTTAAGAGAGAAGACATTCCGAAGACTGCTTTTAGAACACGCTATGGGCATTATGAGTTCTCAGTCATGCCTTTCAGTTTGACTAATGCCCCGGCAGTGTTCATGGAGATTATGAACAGTGTGTTCCGACCATACTTGGACCAGTTCGTAGTAGTGTTCATCGATGACATCTTGGTTTATTCATGGACTCAGGAGGAGCATGCTAGACATTTGCAATTGGTTTTGAGTGTGTTGAGAGAGCACAAGCTGTATGCAAAATTGTCCAAGTGTGAATTCTGGTTGAGTGAAGTGACATTCTTAGGACATGTTATCTCTGCCACCGGTATCCAGGTAGACCCCAGCAAGATTTCGGCCATAGTGGATTGGAAGACTCCGCGGAATGTTCGTGAGGTGAGGAGCTTCCTTGGGTTAGCCGGTTACTATCGTCGATTTGTTAAGGGCTTCGCCTCGATCACTACTCCGTTGAACAAGCTACTGCGGAAGGACATCAAATTCGAGTGGACAGAAGCGTGCCAGCGCAGTTTTGATCAACTGAAGGAGTGCCTGACCCAGGCACCGGTCTTGATTCAACCTACTCCTGGCATCGAGTATACCATCTATAGTGACGCATCTCATAGCGGCTTAGGTTGTGTACTGATGCAGTTGAGTAAGGTAGTGGCCTACGCATCGAGACAGTTGAAGACTCACGAGGAGAACTACCCGACACATGATTTAGAGTTGGCAGCCGTGGTGTTTGCCTTGAAGATTTGGCGCCATTACATCTTTGGAGAGAGGATTCACATCTTCACCGATCACAAGAGTTTGAGGTACCTACTCACCTAGAAGGAACTGAATCTTAGACAACGTCGATGGTTGGAGCTGATCAAGGATTACAATTTAGTCATTGAGTATCACCCGGGCAAGGCTAACATCGTGGCCGATGCTTTAAGCAGAAAATCGTTAGCCGAGCTACAGCTTCAGTCTCCGTTAGAGCAGGAGATCCGTACAACACAGAGAGATGATGAGTTTTGTCAGAAGACTCGAGAGTTAGTTCCTACAGGAAAGAGGCCCGAGTTTGCAATTCGCGATGACGGAGTCTTGTACTATCGTGAACGCCTAGTGGTGCCCTGCGGTGGAGTGAGGGATCGCTTGTTGCGTGAGGCTCACGGAACCGTATACACTATGCACCCGGGTAGTAACAAGATGTATCAGGATTTGAAGAAATCCTATTGGTGGCCAGCTATGAAAAAGGAAATCTCCGAGTTCACTGCGCGCTGTTTGACTTGTCAGCAAGTCAAGGCTGAGCACCAGGTTCCGACAGGGTTGCTGCACCCTCCTACCATTCCGGAATGGAAGTGGGAAAGGATCACTATGGACTTTGTGATCGGATTGCCA